CTGCCCCGGCCCGGGGTGCTGGGGGGAGGGCTCGGTGTGTTCCCAGCGCAGCCCTGGTCTGGGGGCAGGCCCGGCAGTGGCAGACCAGCGGGGAAGAGGGGTGCTGGTGGGAAGCAGTTGCAGTGCCCCCCTTTCTCCAGACCCCAGAGACGCGCGTCGCACCCCAGGGCGGGGCCGCGCCGGAACATGTGACGGTCCATCCCGTGGCCAGGGTGAGGCCAGGCCTGGCCCCGTTCGGCTCCTGCTGGGGCCTCGCCAGCGCAGGCTGCTGAGTCCGTCTCTTGGGCTTGCAGGTGTCACAAACGAGGGGTTTACGATGTGGAAAACGAAGAGAAAATTAAGTTGGGCCTCACTGGAAACCACTGACGGCTTTGGGGGCCTGCAAGGTAAGCCTGGCGCGGGTGCTGTGGCACGCCGGGGCTGCCTGCGCGAGGCTGCCTGTGGCCCTGCTGGGCAGCAAAGGCGCAGGGAGTGGGCCTGGATCCCCGTGTGGCAGAGCGGCTGGAGAACCCACCAGCCCAGTCCCAGTGTCTCTTGCAGCCTCGTGTCCTCCTAGGACTGAGCCCAAACCCCACTTCTCTGGCTCAGCCCCCAGCCCCCTCTGGCTGCTGCTCCTCTATGCGTCCCCCTTCCTCTGCTCTGCCCCCCAAGCCTCCTGTCTCCCTGGCTCCCCCCTCTGGTCCTGGCCTCCCCTCGCCATAACTGGGAGCTGTTTTTTACTGTTCCTCCCTGTCCCTCGGGGATTCCCCTTCCTCCGCCCCACTGAGTCATCCCCCTTCTTCAGCTCTTGCCTTAGAAAATCCCTCCCTTCTGCCCTGACTACTCAGGCCCCGGCGTGTGTGGCCCACGGGGCCTGCTCTGCGACCGCAATTGCGGCTGCGCCCGCCCCAGGGGGACTGCGCGTTGGCGGGGGAGGGGAAATGCCCCTCGGTTGGTCTGGACGCTGGCGCCAGACACGCTGCCAGGGCGTCCTAGTCGTCTCTGCAAAGGGCGGGTGCTGTGCTGGGGCGCGGGGGCATCGTCCCTGGGAATGCTCAGCCTCCCAGTGCTCCCCCCACGATTCCCACGTGATCGTGGCGCCGCAGAGAGGGGCTGGGTAAATACAGGCACTTGGGTCCGACCCTAGCGTGGCTCCCCCGGGATCGTCAGGAGCTGCAGGTGATCGTGCCTGAGAAGATGCGGGATGTTGTTGCTACCTGCCTGCACCCCTGATCCCGCAAGATCTGAGTGGCTGCAGGGAGGTCGGTGGGAGGTCAGAGGACTCCGCATCCTGCTGGGTGGGACACTTGCTCAGGCTTGGATCCAGGGAGGCACTCATGCACAGCCTGAGTTCCAGGCCTGGGCAGAAGTGTGTTCCTCCATCAGTGCATCCGTGCGCGCTGTTGTGCGAGGATGCACACCACCCCCGAGCACCTTGCACGATCTGAGTGGCTGCAGGGAGGTCGGTGGGAGGTCAGAGGACTCCGCATCCTGCTGGGTGGGACACTTGCTCAGGCTTGGATCCAGGGAGGCACTCATGCACAGCCTGAGTTCCAGGCCTGGGCAGAAGTGTGTTCCTCCATCAGTGCATCCGTGCGCGCTGTTGTGCGAGGATGCACACCACCCCCGAGCACCTTGCACGAGGCACCAGCCGTGTCGTCCGAGGTCTGAGAGGTAAGGGAATCCCCCCTCCAGCGAGGAGCCAGCCTCAGCCAGTGAACCTCTGTTTATCGGACGTCCTGAGACACAGGGGAGTTTCCTGGAGTGGAAGGGGCTTGTCAGGGAATCGCTTCACTGAAACACACACTCAATGAGCCAACCTGATCCTCTGGCAGGGAAGACAGTGGCAGGAGAAACAGAGTTTGCTGGGATGGTTTCCCGTAGGCAGTGGAATTCCTTGAGGAGTCTCAGCTGCTTGAGAAGGCTCCTGCTGTGGATGAAAATCTGGACCTTAGCTTTCGAGCTTTGCTAGGGGCAGGAGAGTAACAAAAGCCGGCTGAATTTGGATCCTTCATACTCACGCTGAGGAACTAACTGTGAAAGACTGCGACTCCCCAGAGACGGACTTTGCAGCTTTATTAGACAGGGCTGGGGAGAGAAACTATTTAACAAGAGATTTTTCATGTTAAATTATATATTTATTTTAGATATACTGTACATAGTATTTATTTAGGGGCTGATCCTGCAGTCTGAAACTCCACAGGAGTTTTGCTTTGTGTTCAGACAGCAGGATTGGCCCCTTCCCTTTTTAAAGTGCAACATTAATGTTCTAATAATTAACACTGTTACGAATGTGTAGCTAGTACTTACTGAGGACTGGAAAACGATTCAGATCATTTTAATGTGGCAGATTTGCGACGATGTGTCCTTACTGACTATTGTCCATTGCTGTTCCACGTGGCACTGGTGCGGGGGGGGGGATTAAATACCAATTTTCAAGACTTTTCTCCCCTCTTGAGACGCAGCCAATGATGGGAAATCCTCTGTATGGGGGAAGCTGCGCGTGAGTGCAGCACCGCTAGAGCCGGTCCATTCTGCCCAAACATTTCTGTTGTTTAAAACCAAACTCGCCTGGTGCTTACTCCAGCCTCTGCGTTTGGATAAAGGGGTAGTGGCTACAAAGCTTAGGCCCAGCAGCAGAGGTGCAGGAGACCAGATGCTCCACCTGGTCTGAGCCCCCAAGAAAGCCTTATGGGCTTTCTTCCCTCACGGGGATTCCTGAAGTTCCCACCTTAGAAGAAGTTTGGGTTCTTCCGCAGGTCAGATTTCTGAGGCTGCAGTCAGGACCCTCGGGCTGTTGCACCTTGTGCTTCCAGAACTGGTTCAGATGTTACAATCGAAATAAAAACCACTTAATTTCACTTGTGTGTCCTGTTCCTTGAGCCCTGGGTTGGGACCCCCTGGAAAGCAGAGTGAGGCGCAGGGCATGTCAAAGCCAAGAAAGCAGGCAGTTTTCCACAGAAAATCTGCTTTTCTCACTTGTCTGGCTGCATTAAGGCCTGTGTAGAAAGAAAGAAAGAAAAGCCCTGTGCCTTTGGGAAGCTGAGAAGCCCAGATATTTTGGGCATGTCTTTCAAATGATGTTTCATGTGAAATCCAGATCTTCGATCCTAATGCCATTCCTTAGTCCCGTGGTCACCAACCAGTAGATCGCGATCTACCGGTAGATCTCAGGGGCTCTAAGAGTAGCTCTTGAGCCCTCTCTGAACTGCGCACCTGCGCAGTGCATTTACATTAGATTTCCTCATGTGATGTGGAAGGGGCGGGGCAGTAGATCTTCGCCTGTTCTGAGACTTAAAAAGTGATCTTGGGTGTAAAAAGGTTGGAGACCACTGCCTTAGTATAACCGGGCACATTGGTGCTGGCTGGGAAGTCCTGGACTGTGCCCGATCGAGTGTTTATTCCTTTCTTAGATGAACGACACACTCAGGTGCTTAGGCAGTGACTCGGAGACGCCCCCGTAGCCAGCACCGAGGTCTCCTTTTGACTGAGAGAAGAATAGCGAATTCTGTGGGAGCCTGCCAGTGACACATTTGCCCGCTGCCTTCGCTGGGACTCAGAATTCCTCCAAGCGCTCTGGGTGCCCTTTGTGTAATGCCTGCAGGTCGAAGGCTGCTCCTTCATTCTCCTCGGCCTCTCGTGCGGTGGCTGACATTCCTGGGTTACTGATGTAATGGTTCCCCCGCCGCTCCACTCCTGCCTCCTTTCCTCAGGGCGAGTCACGTCTTTGCTTTCATCCGCTGCCATGTCTCAGAGCATCATCGCTGCGGGGCATCCCTAGGGTTCCCTCTCTGCCCACGGTTAGCCACCTCTGTTCGCTTGTCTTCCCCAGGACAAGTCCTCCTCGAGGCCATTGCTTGCCCAATGACTCCGTGTTTAGCGGGCTGGGAAGCCACTGGGGTAGCCAAGGGGATGGCTTGCTGCAGGCAGCTGGAATGTGTCTGTTGATGTTTGCTGTGGGTGGCTCACTCAACGAAGGGCTCGGAAGATTAGTAACAGGCTACGGAGCCTTTTTCCACTGGTCAAACCCAGCCCTGGTTAATGGCCACAAAGGGTGCTTAAGAGGAGCCAATGCAAAGTGAAGGGAGCAGTCACAGAAACGCCTCGTGACTGCCAGCCTGAGCAGGGACAAGACAGGCAGGCAGCTGAACGGACCACCCGGCCGCTCTAGAGTGGGATGGAGCTGTGTCCTCAGTGGGCATCCCATTCTGCCCACATGGCGGGGGAGGGGGCTTCCGATGCCAAGCGCTGGGTATTCTTAGACTCTGAGTTGGATTCCCTAGTGCCGGATGCTCCCTGCCTTGCACAGAGATGGCACAAAGACTCTATGCCAACCTCCTGGTCCTAAAGGCATCTGTGCACCAGCTCCCCTCCCTTGCTCAGCACTGGCATAGGGCTGCTTGGGACCGGGCGCATGGAGGGCAGGTCTGGCCTGGTACCAAATCACAGCACCCGGGAGACACCCTGCTAGCTCACTCAGGTCAGCTCGGTCTGTACTGGGTTTCCGAGAAGCTGTGTGTGGGTTTCCGAGAAGCTGTGTGTGGCATCAGCCAGCCTGTAACCTCACTCAGTTACAGTGGTGGTGATGCTGTCCTATGGTACAAGACGGGCCACAGCACAAACACAGAAGCAGGCCTGGGTGAGGGCCATGGGCCCACAGGCATTGGCCCAGAAAGCGGTTTGCTGTTTTGGGTGCCCATGGATCCCTGACAAACCGCAGTTGGCTGCAGGCAGAATTGAACCTGGGACCTCTGGAGCTTAGTGCACAAGCCTGCAGCTGCCCAGCTAAGGCTGTAGAGCAGACTCATTATTCCTTCTGGAAGTGGTCTCAGCACGGGATGGGACAGTACCACACCCAGTCGGCGTGTGGGTTCCACACAGTCGAGCGGCTCTGTGGCGTGTGTAAGGGGACGGGCTGTGCTCTGTATTAGGACTGTCCTAACTCTCTTAGCATGCGAGGCGCTGCTTAGACAGCACCTGAGAGCGCCGCCCCGCCGGCCCCGCTCCGCAGACCCCCGGCCGTGGGCTGTGCTAGCGCTCTAAGAACAGCAGCGGGGATGCTGCGGAGGGCCTGGAAAGCCTGCGACAGCGAAGCACCGTGAACACAGCCCCTTTTGGAGCGCTAGCCTGAGATCGGGCCCCGATCCTGCTGGCTCCCTGAGGCTGCTCTAAGAGTCTGCCGGCGTCCCTGTGCCATGCCCTAGCATAGCGGGGAAGGCAGGTGTTCTGCAGGGAAACACTCGACCTGCCAGCGCCAGCGCTGCGGAGGGCCTGGAAAGCCTGCGACAGCGAAGCACCGTGAACACAGCCCCTTTTGGAGCGCTAGCCTGAGATCGGGCCCCGATCCTGCTGGCTCCCTGAGGCTGCTCTAAGAGTCTGCCGGCGTCCCTGTGCCATGCCCTAGCATAGCGGGGAAGGCAGGTGTTCTGCAGGGAAACACTCGACCTGCCAGCGCCAGCCGGACCGTGCTCCGCGTTTGTCAGCTAAGCTGCCCGAGCATCGCCAGCACCGCGGCGGCAAGGGAGAGGAGTCGCACAGCCAGCACGTTTCAATCCCGCCCTGGCCCGATCTCGGCCGCCTGCTCTGTGCTGCGCTGTCTCTGGGGGGGAGCGCGCCCCCCACGACACCAGCTGGGTCAGGGCGGGCTCCCGGCAGCCACCCTCCTTACGGATTTCCCCTCTGGAAAATGGGCCAGTGGCGTCAAAAAGGGGGAAATGGTCCGTTTGTGGAGAGGCCCCGCTTACAGCTGCACCAACTATGTGACCTTTCTGTGGGGAGTCTGGTTTCCATGGCGACCGAGCCGGGGGCTGTGTGGCAGCCAGCCCTGCTCTGGACTGTCCCGGCGGCCGCGCATGGGGAGTCCCCCCAACAGTTGTCCCGGGGGCAGGGCAGAGCTACAGGTGCCAGTGTGCACCTGGGGCCAGCGCCCTGGAAACCCTGGGGTTGTGGGTGCCAGCCTGGCCCAGCTGGGCCCTGATCACCTCAGCCTCATCCCGACTGGTCTGGGTTCACGCCCCTCACTGCTTTGTCAGCCGTTCCTGTCCGCCTGACGCCCACCCGCGCTCTGGCTGCCAGCACAGGAGCTGAATACAAGGGGAGCCTGCCAAGCGTGTGTGCTTTGTGGAACTATGCAGACTGAGGCCTTCAGGAATGCAGACTCCAGCCTCCCGCCACCTCCACGCTGCAGAGCCCCACGCTTGCTCTCTCCCGCCCCGGCCAAGCCCACAACAAAACCCTCTGTTTG